CTGTCTCCACTGAACACGATCCCCTTGTACTGATGGTCAGTGGAACATTGTCCCCTCATGCTGGTCACGCTGGTGATTAGAAAAACGCAAGAGGAACCCCAGCCGAAACTCATTGCCATAGATTGTTCATTCACACAACATCCAATTCTTCAGTGTTAACAGTGTTACCTATTTTTGGTATAGGGGTAAGGTATTGGGTGCTTCATTCTTTAAAAATTTTGTGTTTTTCTGGACTCCAAGTTTTGCACACCAACAAATGACTACAGCAAACAAAACAAAACTGAAAACAGACAGTGGAAAGATCATTCGAGGAGGCCTGGACAGAGTCACGTGCAGTGACTGAACACAATGGGAAAGAGCTATATATTCTGTGTAGTAAAGTGTTGTGTGTGTTCCACATCAAGTGTTAGATGACACTTTGACACCAACCACAAGTGCTGCAACTATCTTTCTAAAACAATTATCTGACAGCGACTCCTTTCAAATCTCATTGTCATAGTAAAACATGGTAAGCCCCTCTTGATGGAGATTTTATTAAAATGGTCGTGTTTTCCTGGAGTAATTTCCTTTTTTATGATTTCCCAAACAAGGTAAAATTATGCAGCTCTGAGAGGTCACTTACTAGAAGTACTGTCAAAGATTGAGTCCTGTTTGTGGCATGTGATGTTAGCAGCTCACCACTGACTTACAAAAGGCAGCTTGGATGGAAGCACAGATATGAATAATTACGCAAAGATAGCAGTAATTTTGCATTATCCCTGTTGGTGATATCATGAGAGAAGAGCTGGTGAAACTGATGTCTTTCCTGGAAGAACACAAGGGATACATATCAACAGTGCTGTGATGGAGGCTTTTTTGGTACCTTGCATGGTGAGGGCAACATCTGGTTCCATATAATTCTTTGTTAAAGAAGCAAAACAGCCAGCCATTCACTTTTACTGTATTATACACCAAGAAACTCTTTGTGCCAGGGAAAGTGGTAAAAAATTAGATGATATCTTCAAAGATGTCACAAGAATGTTGAATTACATTATGGCTCATGATCTTAATTTTCAACCGTCTCAAGCACTTCTTGATGAGGTTCAGGCACAGTATAATGCTTTACAATAGTGAACTGGTGGCTGAGCAGAGGATGCATCTTAAAGAGATTTGTAGCCTGCTTGGATGAAATTAGGCTATTTATGAATGGAAAATGGTAGAAATGTCCACAGCTCACTGACATGGGCTGGTTTAATAACCTCATGTTTGTTACAGATTTTACAATACACTTCAAAGTACTGAACAAAAATCTACAATGCATAGGGAAAACAGCAGAAAGGATGTTTTGAGATCAAAATATTTCAGAGAAAACTTCAGGTTTTTGAAAGAGACTTTGAAAGTGGGCAGCTAAAATGTTTTCCAAATCTAAAAATGCATTTAGAAAATTCTAGATTTGCAGATGATCCTACAACCCATCAGGAAATCTACAAGAAACTTTCTAGCATTGTAGCAGCTGCAAAGGAGAATTTTAGTAACAGATTTTTACAGTTCTGTAAGATGGAGACAACACTGTTTTCTTACTTCTCCAGATAAAGCCAAATTTGAAGAACTTGATCTTTTGTGCTTACATGGGTTACATTTTGGACATCTGGAAATGGAGCTATTGGAATTTCAAGAAAGTGCTATCTGGAAAAATAAATTTTATATCCTCTGTGGAACACTTGAAAAGATAGAGAAGACAGAGTGTGAAGGGATGACAAAGGACAGCACAGTTGGTAGCTCTGAAAATGAAATCCTTAAAGTTGTGGAATTCTCTGCCAAATAGTTTTAAGTCAATGAAAGCACTTGGGATTACTTTTCTTACTTTGTTTGGATCATCTTATGCTCGCGAACAGCTGTTTTCAGCTTTGAATTACAACAAATCTGATACAAGAAACAGACTAACTAATGACCTGAGTGCTATATCCGTTGCCCTCCAACTGATGAAGTATAAGCCAAAGTTTGATAAATTATCAGCAAGAACACAATAAATGCAAGCTTTTTCTTTTTTAAAAAAAGCTGTTTGTATCATCGAAAGCTCTACTACTGCGTTTTTCTTTAAAAACAAAAGATGTTAACATATGAGTTTTTTTCCAAACTAAAACTTTAATATTCAGGTTGAATTGCAATGTTGGCACTTTGTGATAAATAAGTGGGCTTGGATTGTTGCTTGGACAGTCAGTTTCTAAAAGGTTCCCCCATCACTAACTTAGATCACTTACATAGTACAGGTTTTGTATATTTAAATTTGTACAGCAATGTCTAAAGGAAAATGTAACTTTATAGCACCACATCTTAAAACAGCACTCAGTAAGTACAAAACAATGCCCATACCATGAGAAACCTGTAAGAACCACAGCTAAGTAAGCAGTGAGGCCATGGCCACCACTCTCATCTCAAATAACTAAAGGGAACCCTGTAAGGCAAAAGGCGCTTGAATGTGATGCTTACAGAGAATTTAAGTTATACTGCTCTTTTTTTCCTCTCACTTTTCTTTTAAAAGGGTGAATATGTTAGAATTCTTATAAGTAAAAGCAAGTAGTTTTCATCTGTACAATAATACTTCCTTCACTTTAAAGTTTTCCAGTAGTTTATACCATGTAGAATCCTAGCTCTCTCCCCAGATTTCAAGATTTCTCCCAAATGAGCTGTGCATGGGAGCAATTTACCTTCTATGCTCCCTTCTGTGCTACTCCTTCTGCCTGTTACACCTCTGCAGCCCCCCAAATCCAAATTCTGTTCTGTGGGATTTGGTGGTCTCTCAGTGGTCCCTGGGAGAAAACAGCGAGAGGATTTAGAAAATAAAGAAAAGAGACAATAGCCAGGGTCAGGTGGAGTTACCTCTTGCCTGATGAGCAAGAGGACTGCCCAAAAACAGTAAAGCATTTATTTATAACCTGGAGAGGTTGGTTAACTTTTTATCTCGCTGCCCAGCAACCAGTTAACAAGTTACAAAGGCTTGTTTACTCCCAGGGGCTTGTTTACTCTGAGGAGCTCGGTGTTCTCAGGCTGGCTTCATCCTGCACGTGCAATTATTTTCCAGCTTAAGCGGCTCCCAACACTATTCAACTGCCAAAACCCAACATTACCAATGCCTGTGTCCTGTATCCCTAAATTCATATGTTGAAAATCTTACACCCAAACATGCTACAGTAAGAAGATGGAGTCTTTGGGAGTATTATGATTAGATAAGGCCATGCAGGTGGAGCCCTCATGAATAGTGCTCATGCCCTTAAAAGAGTTCCAAGAGAGTTGCCTCTTTTCTCCGCTGTGAGAAGACACAGGAAGAAGGCTGATCTGTGAATCATGAATCAGGAAGTAGGCCCTCATCTGAAAATGATCTCCAACTGCCCTGATCTTAGAGTTCTCTGTGTCTAGAAACTGGAAAGTCAATCTGTGCTGTTTGTAAATTACCCAGTCTCTGGTATCCTGACTAACACTACTGCACAAAGTCTCTTCTAAGCCACACTGTATCCACATGATCAACAGGCCAGCATTTGTTATGTAGTCATTCTCTAAACACAAGGCAGCATGCTTCTTTAAAGACCAGGCCTTATACCTTTTTCTCTACCATTCCTCCCAGTACAACTTTGGAAATATATCATTAATAAATGTGTCGTTGATTACTAATTGGTAAATAAAGAAGGCAAGTCAAACACCAAATGATCTACCCAAATTCTTAGGGAAAGTTACACATGTATTAAAATGTCTCTAAAAATCTTAAAATTACCAAAATGTGGCATCCTGGGTCCAATGCTACAAGCAGAGGTTTTCACTGGTAACACTTAAGTTTCATAGGTGTTCTAGAAACAAGAATACCCACTTACTATAAGGAAAGTAGATGTTAACAAGCACATACCCTCTGATGTTGTGACAGTCTTCTTGTCTTTGGGAGGTAAGACATGCCCAGTATGAGAGATAACCCAAACTGGAAAGCGTCTATTCGTCAAAGAGTACAAAGCCTTTACAAATGGCACATAAAAGACAGGAAGACCTGGGTTACCTAAGAAAAGAAAGATCTTAAATTAACCAAGCAATAAACTTATGCTCAAGGTGTGATCAAAATATATGGTATTTTAAATTTTAAAAATTTATTACAATAAAAGAACATTGCCATTAATCCCTCTCAAAATATTCCTCCTAGCTTTGAACATACTCATCCCTCCCATTGTTTTTGCTGAAGCATTTCTTTCATGTCTTTATGAGATGTGATTAAAAAATACAGTAGCAGCCAATAGAAAAACAGGGTCATAAAAACATCATGGTGTATCCCCATCCAACTTATTCACTGCTAAGGCACCATGTGACTTCTGGCTCTTCCCCAGTGTCAAAACGACCATGAAAGCTAAACATTTTGATTGATTCAGGACATCAACAAAACCACACAGTACAACTAAAGATATTCATGGAGGACTTCCAGAACAGCTTCAGAAAGTGGCAAGACTGACCTAAAAGCAATACTGCTAGCCAATTATGGACTAAACTTCTGGAACTATTAGCCAAAATAAACTTTTCTACTTTTTAAATTGACTAGCTCAGGTATTTAGACACAGAGACAGAAAGCTGATTAATACTACTGTCACATGAAAATGTACTGTCATAACAAAATACAGAGTACACAGCCAATAAATTCATAGAGGTGTGTCAGACAATTAAGTGAAAATTTGTTTTCCTGGATTTTGTGATGCTTCTAGCATATTTTTAACCACTTATCAGTCCAATTATTTAAATACAATATGACCCCAAATTGCTTATTTTTTCATTAATTTTTATAGCAGGAAATATTAAAATGACAACTTTATTAAATTTATTCAATATAAGAATTGACTGGTTGAAATGACACTTGCCTGAGTGACATGAAGGGTAAACTGTTAAGTGGTTAATCTGTTAAAACTTGTTATGATTTATTTTTCATTCTAAATAAATATTCAGTTGATTAAAAGGAAGTTAAAAATATGTTCTCTAAAATACATAGAGAGGCCAGCCAGGTGCTAATGAGTCAGGGGCAGAAGGAGTGTTAGGTATGGTAGCAATAATTAAATCTATACCCCTCCTTTTAGCAGGTAGTTGCTACTTATGCTCATACCTGTAAGAAGGGATATTACCAAAAAGACAAAAAATCAGTGTTGGTTAGAATGTGGGAAAAAAAACACACTGCTGGTGGAAATGCTACTTAGTGTAGACATTATGAGTAACAGTATAGTGGTCCCTTAAAAAATTAAACTAGACTTAGTCTAGCATCCAACTTGTGGATATATATGTGAAGGAAACAAAATCAGTATTAAAGAGATGTCTGTACTCCCATGTTCACTGCAGGACTATTTATAAGAGTCAAGACATAGAAACAATCTAAGGATCTATCAACTGATGAGTGGATAAAGATATAAATGCACAATGGAATACTATTCAGTCTTTAAAAAAGAAAGACATCCTATATCATTTTTGACAACTTGAGTGAACCTGGAGGACACAAGTCAGGCACAAAGACAAATACTGCATGATCTCATTTATATGTGGGATAATAAAAAGTTAAACAAAAGCAGACAGTAGAATGGTGGTCATCAAAGTAGGGAATGGGAGAGTGATGGAGATGTTGGTTGGGTGAAGATCACAAAACATTAGGATAAATAAATTCAAGAAGTCCACTGGACATTATGGTGTCACAGGTAAGAGGAAGGTACTATATTCTTGTTATAGTTTTTATATAAAAGGCTCACTTTTATCCAAAGGTTCACTATTTTGAAGCCTTGGTTATGAGCTACTGGGCTTCTCCAATGATGGAATATGAAGGGTCTAATTCCAGTAGTGGATTAATCTACAGACGGATCCTAATTCCATGGCATTACTGGGAGAAGGAAATAGGTGGCAGGGCCTAACGGAAGGCATTGAGCTGAGGGGACATGACTGGGGGCCTACTATCTTGTCCTGGCCCCTCCCTTTCTATCTCTTTCCTGACTCCCTGGTTTCTGGCTGCTAGGAGGTAAGCAGTTCTGCTCTGTAAACCCTTCTTCCGTGATGCTTCCATCCTGCTATGGGCCTAAAAGCAGTGGAGCCAGCTAATGATAGACTGAAACCTCTGAAACTGTGAGCCAAAATAAACCTTTCCTCTTCAGTTGTTTTTCTCAAGTATTTGGTCCCAGCAACAAAAATGTGACTAATATAACTTTAAAATTTCTGAGATGGGTTTTATGTGTTTTCAACATGTAAAATCTAAGTATGTGAGGTAATGAATATAGTAGTTAGCTTGATTTCATCATGTCACAGTGTATACATATATGAAATTATACTGTATATCATAAATTTACACAAATTTTGTCAATTATAACATATGTATACATGGAATAGAGAATAAGCGACAATATAGTTGGAACTAAGGCTAAGTGCATGTAAGAACACAAGGGCTAGAGTCTGGTTCCATTGCCTCCTTTTACAAGTGAAGCATATACAGTACCTATTCCCTTGAATAGTTGAGGAATGCAAGGAAATGAAATGAAAACAACTGGCCCAGGCTTGGGCATGCCAAATTATGGTGGGTTCTTTCTTGCTTTCCTTAGGGGTCCAAAAACAAAACAAACTTCTTCAGCCTCTTTAACTTCATATTACCATCCTCCCAACTGTTTAAACATTTTTAAAAAATACATATATATTTTTTCAGTCATTTCTTACAGTTTCTTTTTTTGTTTGTTTGTTTTTTTGAGACAGGGTCTTGCTGTATAGTTCAGGCTGCCCCTAACTAACTTTATAGCCCAGGCTGGCCTTGAACTTATGGTAATCCTCCTGCCTCAGCCTCCCCAGTGCTGGGATACAGGCATGCGCCACCACCAGGCTTGGCCCAACTGTTTAAATGTTATGGCTTACATCATACTTATAAACCATAAACTAAACTTCCTGATTTAGAAATTTATACAACTAAAGGTATCTCCATCTAGCTATCTACTCTAGGCAATGCTAGGAATTGTCCAATTGATGGAATGCTAGGCAACAGTCCAATTCAGAAATGCAAGTAAAACCTTTTATCAAAGGTTTATATCAAAATGTACCATACACACACACTGTAAAATGCCCATGCAAAGTAGAACAGAGGCTATAGTGATCATTTGTAGACACTGACAGTTGATGCATGCTTTCCAGTTAGTTTTATAGAAACAACAGTGCCATGTATTCAGTTAATGTTACAAAGCAGCTATATAGAAAGTTGTCATTCACAGAGATTTGTCTGCCAGATCTATAATCACTGTACTCACAGCACAAAAGTGATTCTGTTATCCTCATTATAATGATTCAGGATGTCCTAGGGTGGGTTCTCAAATCACCTCCTTTTACTCATTTCACTACTTAAAATCCAAGGACAGTGTGACAGTGTCACTTAACAGAAATTCTAGATCTAAGGTTCACTGGAAAATTAAAAGTTATTCAGTCTGTGGATCCTGATAACTCATTCCTAAATATCATCACTAATTGTGAAGAACTAATTTTGCTAGCTGCAAAAGCAAAATGATTTAAAATGAAATGTTATATGTCTATCAGAGCTGGATATAATATGATGTCTATAATGTTTTGACAATCCTTGAAATACTTCAACCCTCACATTCATTCAATACGATGATGGATGGACTAATTATTAATGATTAAATGGAAGTCTAAAAAGATGGCCGTATCTTTTGGATTATATATTATTATGATGTAAAGGATCCATGTTTAACAACCAGGATGTACCCAGCTACTCTGCTATTTACACACACAGATACACAAACACACACACATTTCTTTTTTTTTCCAATCTGTGGTTCCTGGCTCATGACTCCCTACTATAAGGCAGGCCATAAAAACTAGAATTTCTCTTCCTCAAGGTGGGTCACAGAAATTCTATCTTTCTTTGCCTTTTTGTTTTGGAGCTGTCCATAAAGAAATTCTTTAATCTTTCTTTTCTGACAGTAGGTCATAAAACCCTCCTCATTCCAGTGGGGTCCTGTCCCACATTATGGAGTAAGGAATGCTGCACAGAAAGGCTAAGGAGAATCTGGATAGGCCTTGCTGGTTTTTCTCATGCAACCTATTAGCAATCATGAAGGTTCCACTGAAAGATAAAAGTGCAATGCTCAGGAGAACTTCTAGACAGATGAACACTGTTGTGGTTTACATCTAGGTATCCCCCTCAAAGCCTCATGTACTCATAAGGGGAGCTTTTGGGAAGTGAACAGATCACAGCGGTGTGATACTTATGAATGTATTAGTCCACCAATAAGATTATATATCTAAATGTGATGTTGAGAGGTGAAGTCTAGTCTGAGGAGGTGGGTCACTGAGCATGTGGCCTGGAAGGGTCTACCTCCCACCCTCTTCCCTTGATCTCTCTCTGTTTTTTGCCTGCCCTGCCATTAGCAAGCATCCTTTGCCATAGTGCCCAGCTTTGAAGCCAGCTGACTATGGACTGGAATTTCTACAAACTGTGAGCCAAAATAAACCTTTCCTTCTCAGAGTTGTGGGTATTAGTACTATGTCTCAGCAATAAGAAAGTAACTAAGACAAACACATGGAGGTTCCTGTGGGGGGGATGGCACATAGGAAGTACACAAAAGCTCCAGGCTTGTTTTTCCAAACCCTATGCATCTCTTCCTTTGTATCATTCTTAAGAATAAATCAGTAAATGCAAAAGGATGACAAAATATTAACACACATACACACACACACACACACACACACACACACACACTCCTTACAGTTTAAACAGACTAGACCCTAAAATAAAAATAATTCTGAATCCCATAAATCACTGAGCAGCACCTGCCTACAGCTCTCAGGAATCCAAGGAAAGGACCAAGGGTAGCAATGAAAATAGAACAGTGAGCATAAAAGAACACAGAAAACAAAATGGGATCTGAAAATGTCAAAGCATTACAAGCAGCAAGTCTACAAAACAAGGAACATTTCAAGTTTCCCCCACCTGAAGGCTCACTTACTTTCTTACTATACTAGAAACACAAATGAATGTGGGCTTCCTAC